CGCCCCAAGCAGGCAGAAAAAAGTAGATGAGTTCAAATCTTGATTACCAAAGTGTTGAAGTCATGAGGCTGGAGTCGGTTTTGCAGGATAAGGGTGTCCTCGCACAAGTCTGTGAGACAGGCATAGGTTTCACCTGGCCACCTCCCACATTTCCTCTGAGCACCCTTCTTCCAGCCAGGCAGCCTACATGCTGCCTCCACACAGACTGGCCCTTCTCAAATTGTCAGCACAGGTAAAACTCAACACGTAGTTAAATTATTGAAATAATGGCTGAAAAGTTATGAAAACCAAGGGTGCTGGAATTTTAATACAAAACCCTAAGGAGAAAAGGAAAGCCTTAAAAACTTACAGGCACTATAATTGTAATTGTGACTTTTAGAAAGACTGTTTTTGGATTCAAGCTCTGTGTAGCCTTTCCACCTTTTCTATAATATAATCTAGCAGGTTAGCCTGAGGGCTCTGACTTTTCCAGATTTCCCAATTTTTGTTTAGCTATCACCAACCTACCCTGTTCTCATGTGGCCCTACCAGCCTTGTCCCCTTACTAAAAGATTCTGACCTTCACTAAGCCATTCTGGGAGCTCATGAACCAGACTGGAGGGATGATAAATCCATGTTGTCATAGTTCCTTGATCCGTTTCCCTCTGCCACACACTTATTGCCATGGAGATAAATGCCCAAACTGGTACAAATTTCTCATAAGCAAAGCTTCCATGGTGCTTTCTATTTATAATAGAAGAGACGTCTATATAGGTTATTGAACTTAAGTCTGATTTGTTTCCTAAATAATAAGGAACTAAGAAGTGAAAACATGGTTTTTAAAAAGTGCCTCAGAGTTGCCTAATTATTCCACTCCCCCTCCCCCCAATACTTCATTTCCTTTTGGTCTGAGGGAAAGTAAATAAAATTATAATTCGTTTACTTCAAGCAAAGTTTTTGAAGGTGAGAAAAATGGATTAGCACCTAGACCAAGAATGGCAATATTTCTTCCATTCAGTTCTTTAAGTAGTTACCACATTGCTGGCATGCCACTAGGGGTTGTCCAGGACACAGGACACAGTTTTGACCTGGTTCTGCTCTCTGACACATCACACCCTCTGTACACAGAGTCTATGAATCTTCCCAGGTTGATTCAAATGACCTGGTCAGGTTGTCTGTCTCCCTTCACTAGACAGTGGGATACTCCAAGGCAGCAAAGTGCTTTAATTAGCCTTGTGATGCTGATGTTTCTGTCCTCAGTTGACACTCCAAATTCATTTTGAGTCAGATTTCAATGCTATTTACGATTCCCCAGAGGAGAAGGAAACCCCAGCCCCCAGAGCGTTAGTGAACAGCAGAGACTTCCCTGGAGTTTTTTGAGAGAGACTGAGAGGAGGTTTTAAATCTTAAAGCCCACAGCAAACCTCTAAAGTCCTCCATCAGACATGGATTTCTCCGGATTCCTTCCATCTCCCTGGCTGGTCCATGTGGTTATCAGATCTGAGCTGTTGTGCTGGTTCAGCAGGTGGGGACTGAAACCCAGCCCGTGCAGCCTGTCCAAGTGGAGAGCCACCCAAAGGAATGAAGAAGCCCTTTTTTCTTTGCACGTGAGCACCATGCCTTGCAGCTACACGGCAGCTGAACAGGAAACTTTTCCTACTTCTCACAAAAGCTCTGGCTAGTTAAAGCTCTGGTGTGTTTTGAACTGAGTCTCATCTAGAGTAACAATTTGACAAGTAAGGCACAAGTCTAATTATCAGATGACATCAAAAGAATGCCAGAGACAACAAATGCAAAGTAGTCTTATAATAGAAAGCAGTGGGATTTTTTAAAGTTCCCCTATAACATGTCAACAGGGAATTAGGGGTCTTGCCAGAGTTTGCTGCAGCATCAACGTAATTCTTACTAAATTCAGTTTTATCATATCAACAATTTTTTCCCTCGGCAAAATCTGTAAAAATATTTGTTATACATCTCTTTTTAACTGTCAATAAATTTGAATTCAGAGCAGTAAGAAGATGGGGAAAGTTAGCTCTCCATTAGTGAAAGTTGGAATTATAAAATGTCTTTAGAGAAATACATGTTTCTTACTTCCCATTATTCAATAAGTTCTAATTAGGACCAAAAAAAAAAAAAAAAAGTTTCCAAGTGGAAAAACTTCAACTTATTTTTAGTGAGTACTTAAATATTGTAGTGAAAATACAAATTTCAGTAGTACTGTAAATAGATCTTTCCCAAATTGGGAAATTTCCTCTCTCATACGTAAATTAAACATATCTCTTTGTGTTTTATTGAGAGTTACATTATTTATTTAGTAAACTACTTATAAACAATTTAAAAGTAAAATTCATCTTCTCTTCTGAGGACATGATCATTTTCTTAAATAACAAGATCCCAAATAGTCAGGGTTCACTCTTCTTTTTCCCAGCCATCTGTCTGGGTGGGATCACTGTTCTTCCTGCTGCACCCTCCTACCCATCCCTCTCCTCTCACCCTGCCCCCAATCCACACAGCACGAAGACACTGTTTTCCCTTCTAAGAGGTCCTTAGGGAAGAGACTATGCAAGTATCACTATTGGATGTGGTCAGGCTCATAAATAAAAGAGTTAAATTTCAGTTACCTGGAAATACCTACATCCTGCCAAGGCTGCAATCATTCTGTCACTTACAAATTCTAAGTTTAAATGAAACCAAATCACAGTCTTTTTTGGTTCCAACTCTTCCCTTTTGGTGAAGCTTGCGTTCTTGGTTCAAAGAAAAGAATGGCTTACTTTTTGTAAGAGGCTCAAGGCTTCTTGGACATTGAATGGCTTTTACAAAGTACCATTTTGTTGAGTGCAAAAGAATAAGAAACAGCTGGGTTGCATTTTCTTTGAAATGCACATTTAGTTAAAAATTAAAGACAAAATAAAAAGCACTGGAGAAAAACACTTTCTGGTTTTGCCAAGACCCAAACCATTTAAGAAAAAGAGAGGAAAAAGAAAAGAATGGTCTGAAATGTTTTGCCAAACCAGTTCCCCCTTCTGTGGTCCTAAAGTTCGTTAAGCCCGAAATAAAATAGTGCAAGACACAGAATTAGTTCAAACTGGTTCTGGAAACAGTTATGGGTCGGTTAGGCATGAAGGGATTCAATAAATATTTCTCCTCTTTTTTCTCTTCTATCCCAAGAATAGTTGCAGTCATTTTTTTTTTTCTTACTAGTTTCTGAATTTTGCCAAACTCTTCCTGATACATAGAAGGTTCCCAAACAGAGGGATTGAATTTAAGTAGAAAACTACATTCTAGTGGCTTAAGTTCTTGGAAACATGTTTGTACTACAAATAGTAAATAAATAATAAAAGTGATTCCAGGGAATGAAAAGCTGCTAGCTCCCTGCCAACTTGCTTTCATCGCACAACAGAAAAACAAAAAGTCCATCTTGCCCTGGAATTATAGGTAAAATGGGCCCATATGTGTTCGTGTTGACTTAAATTCAATTTAACAAACACTATTCAGCACTTACCATGTTCGAATCATAAAACTAGGTGCCATAAGAGGATTAAAAATGAGCAAGGGTTCAGAAATGGATAGAAGGAAGAGAAGGAAAAACTAAAATGCTTAAGAGGTGTCATGTGACCATCCCATTATTCCAGAAACACTTTTTACCCTTTCATTGTAATTCCAGTTTGGTCCCGGGAGGAGGTGAGTATAGCTTCCACCTAATCGGCTGCCATCTTGGATCTTTCCCAGAAACACTTTTTAAAAAAACATTTCAGAATGGCTGAAAGTGGAGTGATTAATTGTGCTTAATTTGAAAGTCTCCCTTTAGAATTTTTTGAACTGAGTTAACTGACAAGAAAAATATTTTTATGGCTTCATACATTTATTAGGCAGAAATTTAACTGCCTCATGCCAGTGCTGGCAACATTGAGAAAAGCTAATCTTCTGTACTTGCAATTTTTCATCTTTTCAGATTTTCTTCCATCCCCCAATGCAAACCCAAAAGACCTAAGTTTCTTACATACTTCAATGCTGCCTGTATTTTCCACTGGAAAAGTAATCTATGTCAATTAGTATTAAAACCGTTAATACTGTAAACTAACACTTAACACTGTTACATCTTTCTGAAAGTCTTTGTACTTTTAAAGAAGATACTTGAGGGAGGATTTTAATAGCCTATAAAGACAATTTCCCATCAAGCTCTATTAGTAACCAGGTAAGATAGGAGCTATAAGGAGAAGGGCCCAAGGCAGACAGTAGACAGGTGATGGTAGCCAGCGGCAGGGGCTAAGACAGTTGGTTCATTATGAATAAAATAAGGGAGGTAAGCATTATCGTGGTCTTCAGTGAAGATTCAGGCAAACGATTGGCAGAAGCTCTGGTGTGAGCCAGAGATAGCTGATAGGTTTTCTCAAGGGTATAATGGCTGGGAGGGTGTGTGTGTATGTGTGTGTGTGTGTGTGTGAGAGAGAGAGAGAGAGAGAGAGAGCGAGAGAGAGAGAGATGGTTAAGATGCTAGTACCAGACTCAAGCTAAAAAATAAGAGCCTCAGGCTCCCAGAGGCCGACCATCAGTGTGAAGTCACTGTCAGAAGGAGCTGGGACTCCAGAATAATTTCGAGAACTTCTTTGGCCAACCCTGGAGCTGGTTGAGTCAAGTTAGCTGAAGAGTGGAGTCTGCCCAAGGGGGTGGGCAGAGGGCAAGGCAAAGACAAAGAAGAGGAGTGAGGAGATGGCAGAGTGGATTTCATTAATGTGGGAGGAATAGACTCAGAATGAGAAAGGGGCACTTTCTTTAGTGTTCGAAGGATGTGCCTATTTCTCCTTCTGATTAGACATTTGTTGACTTAGGGATATGCTAAATCTGTCACAGCAAAAGTTTCTGCTCTCCAACTCTCAAAAGGGCAATGGGTACCTGAGCTCCAATTTTAAACATTTAATAGAGTGGAATTTACATATTTCCTAGAAGGAGACCTCCAAAGAATTTCAGTAGAGTAATTTCATTTTTTGCAAAAGCTGAAGGAATTGCTGAGTAACGTTAGGATGGTAAATGTTTTGAGATTAGGGACCATATCTCTCCTATTAGTACCCAGAAACACTGGGGCTGGCCCTCTTCCGAGTGGGCTAGACCAGGGGATCCCACATATGAAGAAACTCCTAACGAATGACCAGCTGACTGTCCACCTGACCTAACCTTCCTTTTTCAGCTCCATCTACTCTGACCCTCTCAGGGTCATGGTGTGCCCATCCAGCTCTCACTTCTCTTTTTCCTTCCTGCTTGGCCCTCCTAGCAGTGACCTGCCTCCCTGGCTGTAGCCACAGCAAGTAGCATCCCAGCCACCACACGGATCTCATCCCGGAATTTTCTAAATCCAGCATCTCTCTCTGTTATCGATGAAACCCAAACAACTTTGACAGGATCTAACAGCACTTGGCACTTAAAAAGTTGCTTAAAAAACACTTAATGAATTAACTACAACTCTTCTCTCAACTAGTAGTGATTTCCCAAATTATCATATATGTAAATATATTGAAAAGACTTCTGAGCTATACCTAGAGTGAGAAGACCTAGAGCCATTGTGGCAGACAAGGTCACCGACCACCGGTTATGCTAGCTGAGTCGTGGGGGCTGTTGCGAGGACCAGAACAAGAATGGGGGGGACAAAAAACAAAACATAACTTTATCGCACTTTATTAAATTAGAGCCCAAACCGAAATATCATCTGAAAAATTCACTTCTGTGGAGTGGCCTGTTCCCCATGAGGCTGGATAAGTGAGGTATCTTTGTATTGGATTCTGTTTTACCCGGGACTTTTAAGGAAATCCTCTGGGCTTCCCCAGCAGTGTGGAGACTGGTCACGGGCCACACCTGCTGCAGACCAGAACACTAAAACCCCTCTGAACGGTAGATCTTTTGTCCTAACAGAAACTGAAGCCAGCCCCCTGTATGACAGTCCATCATTTTTGCTGTCGCTGCTGGTTAACAGAAACATTTCCTACAAAGAAGTATTTGGGAACCCCTCCACCGCTGTCCCCCTCTGATTCTCCACCCGCCCCTTCCTGCCCTCTGCACCCCATCGCAGGAACATGTCACTTTCAGTACCCACTAAAGAAAGCAGCTGTGCCCTGAAGCAACAGGTTCACCAACATGAAACAGAAAATTCAGACCAGGAGAACCTGCTTTTCAGGTGCCAACTGCATGTTTGCCTGCTTTTCGAAGGACCAGAGGGAGTCATGGCTCTTCCAGGACTGACCTCTAGACCCTTTGTGCTCAGACAGGCTGGTGCTTGTCTCTGGTGGACACTGCTCATAGTCATGGGACCCCTCCCACCCCTAACATACCCATCAGGAACCGGCTATCCAGATGAAACCATCTCAGTCTTAGTTTTATCCCCGGCCCCAAGCACACAGACTCCAACTCTGCCCACACTGCAAAGTAAGATTTTCCAGACCGGCTCTGTGAAGATGCCTAATTCCAGGCTTCATTACCTGGGCCAGGCACCGCTTGAGAGCATAAACTATTTGAAATGAAAATGCCGGGATGGTGTAAAATCAAAAAGGATTTTTGACAAGAGCTATTAGTCTACTGTGTGTTCCAGCCTCACCCAGCCCCA